TCTTTCAGACAACTCTCTAGTCCAGGGCTGTCCAAACTCGGTCCTGGAGGGCCGGTGTCCTGCAGAGTTTAGCTCCAACTTGCCTCAACACACCTGACTGGAAGATTCTATGCCTAGTAAGAGCTTGATTAGCTGGTTCAGGTGTGTTTAATTAGGGTTGGAGCTAAACTCTGCAGGACACCGGCCCTCCAGGACCGAGTTTGGACAGTCCTGCTCTAGTCATCTTAAAAATATTTAGTTTTGCACATCCCCATCGAAAGGGGTGGCTTCATTTGTGTCTGTCATTTTCGTTTCCCCACAGAGGTCACCTGATCTAGCCTTTGGTTCTGTGGTTGCATTTCCCTTCCAGAGAAATTAGTGTTTGTTCTTTCTGGTACATTTTTCAAGTCTTTCTTATGAAATACTATAGCAATACATTTATTTAGCGAGAGATACTACCTTTTTGTGGGGGTTTATTCATCCCCTTGTCTCTTGACATTTTAACCGACCTTTCTGTCATTTCAGGGTTTGATTAGTATCTGTTTTTTCCCCCTCGCAGAGCATGTTAGGTAACATCCTTTGCATGTACGCTGTCATTGCTGACGCTGCTCTTCAATCTAGAGGATATTTGGAGTGAAAGATGAGTTCAATTGAGGATGATGGACACGCTGAACTCTGCAGAAATAACATTAGTGTTAAAATGAGTTTCTGCAGAGGTTATGTAACAGGACTTTTTGAAGGACTTTGTCAGGACAGATGTGATTTTCACGCTAGATTTCAGATGACATACTCACACTTAACTAAATGTTCCCTTGCCCGAACACCTCAGGGAGGGGGGCTTTATATACTGCTGATATATTTAGCAGGAGATCACAGTAATTAGGTTCCTGAGCAAGTGTTAAATGTTTTGCCTTCTCAATGGACTAGAGACTCTCTAGTTTGTTTTGCTGTTACTTTGCCAATCTACAGTACATTCATCCACATAGAGAAGTAGTCTTAAAGGGGTCATATGATGCTGCTAAAAATAACATTATTTTGTGTATTTGGTGTAATGAAATGTGTTTGTGGTTTAAGGTTAAAAAACACATTATTTTCCGCATACTGTACATTATTGTTTCTTCTCTATGCCCTGCCTTTGTGCTGTGATTGGCCAGCTATCCAGTGCGTTGTGATTGGCCGAATACCTCAAGCGTGTGACGGAAATGTTACGCCCCTTACCATATTGTGATGATTCCTCTTTTGGAAGGCCAAACAAAGTAGTTTCGCTTTCACAACGAAACACAGCGTCACACGGTGGCCTTGAGTGAGCAGAGGCCGGGGGCTAGAGTTAGCGACGGCCAGCTAGAGTGAGCGGAGGCCGGCTTGAGTAAGCGGCGGCCGGTGGGCTTAAGTAAGCGGCGGCAAGCAGGCTTGTGGCAACCACATGTGACGACCTCGGGCTGGACTCCGCTTCGTCCACGGTGAAAGCCGATCCGGATCCAAAGTTGTAGTATTTCCTCAGCGACCAGCACGGATCAGCTCCAGGCATGACGAAGCGGATATCGTCCTCTTTTGGAAGGCCAAACAAAGTAGTTTCGATTTCACAACGAATCACACAGTGCCTTCACGACATGGCGGCGGCAACAACAATACTATAGCGAGAATAAAAGTTACGCCTTCTTTCTTTGCGTGAACATTTGGGTGGCGTTATGCAAATCTTCCCACATAGTGACGTAGACATGTGGGGGCGTGTTAGAACGAGCTGTTTTAGGTAGGCGTGGCAGACTCTTAACTTTTATAAAGAATATCTCTTTGGATTTGAGACTTTAGTCTTTGCAACTTTACAGATCTTCTTTATGCACCAAGAGCTTGTAACACTCCAAAGAGAAAGGAAAAATTGAAATCGCATCATGTGACCCCTGTAATTTAAAAGGATTCAGACCAGACATAATTCGAATTTTTTTCTAGAAAAAGCACATGGACAATTTAATTAATTTACATGACATTTCCAGGTCTAAAAGTGATATTTTCTTATATCCATTTTTTAAGTAACTGTAGCCCTGGTTCATCTAGAAAGAAAGAAATTGCTTGATTTTTAGTTGTTTTAACTTAATTTAATGCTTGTGTAATGCTTAATTTAATGTCTTATTTCAAATAATTCATGTCGTCTTGAGGCCCCCTTAAATGTTTGCTGAGGCTGAAAACTGCTGGTTTAGACACCTTTAAAGATTACATTGTTTTTATTTGATTAAATTTGTTTTTATTTTTTAATTTAATTTAATTTTTTCTGTAATAATTGCCAATGTGCCCAAGATGCTATTAATGGAGCTTACATTCAGGTTTCCCATAATCATGGAAAACCTAAAATATTAATGGATTTTGTAAAAATATAAATTCCCAGGCCTTAAAAATTAATTAAAAAATTAATATAGTGTTAAAATCATGTAAAGTTGATGCTCTACATGGAGCCTTGGGAAGCTGAATCCTCACTGAGCTGCAATTAAAGTCTCTTTTGATTCTTTTTGTATGCCAATAAATATATTTCTTTCAAATCTATTAATTAAAATAATTGGTACCCAAAATGCAAATGGAACAACCTCTATTCAATTACTGTAAAAAATAATTGTGCAATCATGAACAACTAGAAAGAGTATAGAAATACTTTGCTTCAAAAAAGGGTGGCAACCCTGTATGTTGCCTTTTACCAGAGAATTAGTTTAACAAAGGTTTTCTAAAGCTTTTAAATGGTTATCATAATTCTGCATAGCATTCCTGCAAATTAAGTCAAATAAATGTATCTGCAGCCTTCCATATGAAATCAAGACTAGTTCAGTGAGAATTCTCAGCTCTGAAAACACTATTGAGTTCTTTCCAGTGGTGAGAATAAAGGGCTTTGAGAGGCTATTCCATCTGCTGGTTTTGAGAGATATCTGTGATCCTCACTGTTCACTGGCCTTTTACTCTCCCCAGAGAGAAGCCGTGATTTGCACATAGCTGGTATGAACAGGCGCAGGTGAACGCCGAGGCAGTGAATCTGTACGGGATGCAATTAAAATTCCTGAAATAAATCTCCTTCGCCGCTGCATTGACAGTCAGTGGATGATGCTGGTTGATGAGGTTTAAATAACACTGATACACAGAGATTAAAATAGACAACTATTTTTGAAATTCAGATGCTAGCGGCGCACAATTTACACATTTGTAATGCAAATATTGGTGTTATTGAACAAGGTTATTTTCAAATTCGTCTGTGTGGTGTTAATTTAGTCATGAGTCCTGGGAAAAACTGAAGTGCTGCCACTATTGGCCCAGTCGGCTGATCCAGAGTGACATCAGGGCGGGCTGACCTCTGACCTTGAGTCCTGACATGTTCTTTCTGTGTCTCGCTCTGGTCAACCGTACAGCAAAACTGTCAGCCAGAACTGATTAATGAAGCTTAGCGAAGGTCTAAATGATCAATTAATAGACAAGGAGGACCGCCAGGCTTTTTGTCAGTAATGTTTTCTGACAAGTGCTTCCACTCGTTGGTATGTTGATATGTGATCGTTCCCAAAATACACTCAGTGTTGCTCTGAAGGTGACCTAGAACGCATCGAATCCCTCAGTTCTTGCTTTCAAAAAGCAGTTGTTTCCCTTACAGGGTTTGTTTGCTCTGAGAGAGAGATGCAAAGAATTATGAGCTTCCTGGTTATAAGCTTTCTCCCTGAGATTGAATCTTGTGAAAAAGGTTGATTGCTTGAGCACATGAGCAACAATATAATCTAGTATAACACTGTCCTCTACAGGCAGCAGTGTGCAGAACACCATACAGTTCAATTACAGCTGTTCAAAGGTGAAATCAAAGTTTATAACTTATTGTGCAAGTTATTTCGAAAAAAGAGAGTCTTTGCAATCTTTTAATCACAATGTGACATCACCAATCCCTTTTTCTTTTTCAACCCTTCCCAGCCACCCGCCGAAGTCCACTTTTCTCAATTCAGTCAATTACCAATAGATAAACTCTCATTTAGAATAAATACAATTTTGCATTGCTTTTTTCTTGTTGAATATTCTGTTTTACTCCAACAAAAGTCAAATAGTGAAAGTGTGCGGTCAGTAATTGTTAAAAATCTTTAAATAAATTAATTTTTATAAGTTAATAGTTTAGTTCAGCAGGGGTACATTAAATTAATTAACGATGTAATTTTAAAAAATGCTGTTCTTTTGGATTTTCTTTTTTACAATCAAATCATCTTGAAAAAATGCATCAGTCGCCATAAAACTATTAAGCAGCAAAACTGTCTTCAGCGTTAATAATAATAAGAAATATTTCTTGAGCACCAAATCAGCATATTAGAATGATTTATGAGTTATGGATAGTAAAAATTCAGCTTTATTGTTTTACTGTTACTTTTATTTTAATAAATGCTGCCTTGGTGAGCATAATATACTTTTTTTTTTTTTAAAGCATTACAGAATATTTTTAAAACCAACCCCAAACCTTTGAACAGTATTGTAGTATTTTATATATACTTGATTTTTTTTTTTGTTACCTGACACATTTATGAATGTAATTGCAGGCAGCATTGTATTATCCAATCAGAAATGCTGAAAGCAGCTTTCTGCCAATGAGATACATTTGAGACCACACTAGCTGTTTGTCCTAACAGTGGAGGACAGTTATGGAGACCGTTGTTATTTTTACAAATCCATTTGATGCTGCTAGTGATGCAGAAATTGCTCACAGCAGCGTTTAATGAGTCCAGCGTGACTCATTTTCTTATGAGCAACATCATTGTCCAGAGTCTATTTTTGTGAGGTGAACTGGTGATTAAATAAAGAAGAGAAGAGAGTCTGTGCCTCTCTGAGGGCCCTTGTCTATTTCTGCAAGCTGTGAGGGGAATATGTAGCCGCATATTTTGGAAGTCCCATTAAAAGCGATGCTCAGTCCTGAAGTTTTAGTCTGAAGAGAATCATAGCTGACATGAAGAGATCCTGTTTTCGTGATGGACCTTTTCTGTGGCAACCCATTCTGAGGTGTTTTTTCTGTCCCCGGTGCACAGATGTGAAGGGGCCGCCCAGCCACCACTTCTCCTGCGGCCAGTCGCCGTTCACGGAGCCCTGCGCTTGGGAGAGGAAGTACTGCATCCTGACCGATAGCCAGCTCATCCTGCTCAACAAGGAGGAAGAGGTAAGAGCGCTCCTTCCCTGTGCTTTATCCCCTCATTCTTCTCTCTTCCTCTCCATCAGAATGGAGAGCGAAGGACAGTTAAATGAAGACACGCAGATGATGTTCGTGCTTTGTTGTACATTTCCCCTTGTGAGGGTTAAATGCGTCCTTTGCAGATGTAATTTTGATTCGGATGGGATTAGTTTTCCAGACAGTTACGTCTGTGATTCGAATAAAATCACAAAGTAAATTTACCTGACCTCCTTAAAGGGTCAGTTGTTTTTGAAAAATGAAAATTCCGTCGTCATTTACTCACTCTCATGTTGTTGTTTTTCTGCAGAACTAAAAAGAAGATATTTTAAAGAATGTTGGTAAAAACTGTTGATGGAAGTCAAAGGGGACCAGAAACAGTTTGGTTAGCAACATTTTTGTAAATATCTTCTTTTGTGTTTAGCAGAAGATAGAAATTCATGCAGGTTTGGAACAACTTGAGGGTGAACTATTTTGTGTGAACTATCCCTTTAAGGAAAACTAGTCCCATCCAAATTGGTCTTGATAGTTAAAGAGCCTCATTTTGCACAGTTTAATGATTTGTTCTCCTCTTTAATGAGTTCCAGCACATTACTCTTGCTGTGCAAGCCAGTCGATTTCATCTTGAGGTTATGAAAGGGAATAATCAATTCACTTAATGTATTGAAATGGTTTCTGATTGACGGATTGCTTTCAGATTCGTTTAAACGGTTCGTTAATTAGTAGCGCTGTCAGGAAAAGGGGCTTTCTGGCCCACTGTTAGAATGTGTACCCCTGTGACCTCCACCCACTGACCTCTGACCTCTGACTTGTTCCCAGATGCCATCTGAGGTCCGTGAAAGCCCCACAGCATCCTCATCAAAGGGTCGCAGCCTGAGAAGGACAGTTAGTGTGCCCTCTGAAGGACAGTTCCCAGAGTATCCACCAGAGGGAACCTCCATGTTAGGTAAGATTTACAGTATGTGGTGTTTCTGTTATGATAGCAAAACTACTATTTATGCTCTCTGTCTGGCAAAATAACCACAGGGATATTCAAGAGGAAACTTGAATTTTGATAGGGTTATCAGATAATATTAGTGATGTTTATTTTTTTGTTTGTCATTCTTAATTCCGTCTATTTTTACATTTTAGATTATATAACACTCAAAGTTTATTTTTAATTTAACAATAACATTTAATAACATTTAATAATTTGTTAAAATAGTTAAAAATGATTTACATCAAATAAAGATTCTTTCATGTTTTTAATTAATATTGTCAAAATTTACTGTAACATTTCAAATAGTTTACATTTTTATGTTTGTGGTGCAAGAATAATGTAGACTTTTAATATCAGCCATGTATCAAAATAATTATCAGTTGAAGCTATTAAAAATTTAATAATACTGTTAAATGTCATTTTTATCAAATAAAGTTTCTTTCAGATTTTTTGTCAATATTGTGATGCCAATATTCACTGTAGCACTTTAAGTAATTATTGACTTAATTTATTAATAATACTGATAAATGTTTTATTTTTTTTTTCTATTAATATTGTGCCCAGTGTTCACTGTAGCATTAAAAATATATAATTTAACATTTTTAATGTACAAAAATAGTATAGAGATTTAATATCAGATATTTATCAGTTATCGGATATAAAATCAAACTAATTGCCAGCTTAAGCTTTAAGCCATGATTTATTTTTTTATTTATCAGTTTAATTTTTATAAGTATATTTATTTCTAGTTATGCTCAGCCTCAGACTAATTTTTTTTATCCACTAGAAACTTATCTTTTGCAGTCTCTTTAAAATGATTTTAATCATCTTTATCCAGTAATCATGAACAATTGGAAAGATCATTGTTCAAAAGATGATGAATTGCTGATTCAAACAGTAGCAGGACCTCTAGTTACTTTGGACAGAAGCTTTTTTGCTCTGTCTATTGGGTTTCAAAGATGAAGCTTATACCAGGGGATCAAATGGCACTCTTTTAGCATTTTCTGTAGCTTTAACATGTTGTTAAGCAAGCACGCTCACACTGCAGCTTATAGCATACGGATTTGTGTGCTAGCAGGCAGAGCATTAGGTGAATCATGAATGAAATCACGTCAGTAGGTGCATTTGAAACATCGGAGCCATTACTCATGAATCCACTGCCACAAGCACGAAGGATCAGGATAACAAAGCAGTGGATTTAACCACAACACCACAGGCTGGGCTTTGAAAAACACCAGATTGGGGGCGGAAATATGCATGCTATAAACTGCAGAATATTTCACAAAACAAAGATCAGTTTTGTATCAAATGCATAATTATTCGCATATATACACACCGCCCTCATTGTTACAACATGAGACTGTTTAGTCTTGCTTTTTTTCAGAGTTTATTCACTCTCACGTTGTTACTAACTTGTATGACTGACTGGCTTCTGTGAAACATAAAATAAGATATTTTGAAAAATATTGTCTGCTTTTGTTCATATAATGAAAGTCAATAGGGTCCAAAACAACACTGGACCACAATGAGTTTCATTATATGAACAGAAAAGGATACTTTTGAAAATGTCTTATTTTGTGTTCAACAGAAGAAAGTTAAACAAGCTTTTAATGGCAAGAGGATATGTTAATGATGACAAAATGTACATTTTTGGGTGAACTATCCCTTTAATCCAAGCTGACACAGATGGGACGCTCCCTATCCAGAATTTTCAAAGTTGTTCTGAAAACAGGTTAATCATCTGATTCACCTCTCCATATCCACACCTTTTTCTCATAATGATTCATTATGTTTGGGTACGTTTGATCTCGCGACCTCTGTGGGCCGGGCAAGCTTGTGCGAGAAGGAGTATAGAGGAATGTAATTTTGCAGAACAAAACTCACTGTTGTTACTTTGTTAGTTTTCTCTTTCTCTCCGGACAGCGTTTCGTTCCCCCTCAGGCCTAGGGGGGGCAATAACTGAAGCTGCCCTCTGACTGGTCTCGCATTCAGTGCCAGTACGTGCGGGGGTGCGGACACTGACCCAGTGGGCTGGTTGCTAAAGGCAGCGGTCAGAGAAATGCACAAATCTCTGTGACTAAGAGAGTCATTCATTCTCCAGACCCTCCTAAGCTGCACCGCCACAGATTCAGAGAAGAAGAAGAGGGTTATTTATATGTTAATGTTCGCTCTGTTCGACAATGAGACACTCCGCAGCCAGGGTGGTGAGGGAGAGTCCAGGATTTCTATGGCCATTCAGAACAGGTTGAGTCTCTAGAGGCTGTTAGATGCACAGCCACAAAGAATTTAGTGAGATCATATGTGGTTTTCAGTTTGTATGCTTTCGATCTGTGAGTCATACATATTTTTTTTTCTGTTGTTGCAATGAGGAGAGATGTATCACTTATTGAAGCTCCGTCTTTCTCACGGTTGTCAAGACAATGAGGTTCTGACTTCTCTCACATAGCAAACAGAGCTATTTATGTACTTGCAATTAGGTTTGAATTGTGGATGTTCCTTCCACACAAAATCTGGTTTAAAAGATCAGATTCTTCTGCTGAACACAAAATTAATATATTTTTAAGAATGTTTCAGCTGTTTTTGTCCATACAATGAAAGAGGTCAAAAATAACATTAAACCCTTTGGCTCTGAGACATATTTTAAAAATGTCTTCTATTGGTTTCCACAGAAAACGTAAGTCATACACATTAGGATCTAAATGATATGAGTAAATGTTGGCAATTTTCATTTTTAGGTTAACTATCCCTAAAAATGCAATATTTGAAATGGCAATGTTCTCTTTAACCTCTTTGCTAGTAGTAATGAAGCATTTAATCGAGACTAAAATAGAATAATGGAGATCTATTTTGGTAGATGAAATGCATCGCATTCTATTGTTGCACTAAAGAATATGTCCAATTGATTTAGCTATTTATACATGTTGAGGTGAGGAAGATGACTCCGCTTTACAGAATCCACTAATATCGGTCCCCAAGTCTGTGTTTCCCCCCTGAGGTCTTTGTGCAACATATTTTAGTGTTTTGTTGAAACAAATAAAAAAAGGATGAAAATAGTTCAGAGAGCAGTGTCATGGGGCATGCTGTCCTGAGAAATTCACATTTTACGTGGTGGGCGAGGCAGATCAAAATAACTTCCTGGCATATTTGGGGCAAGGAAAAACTGCTACTAGTGTGTTGATAGCAGAATGTTGTTGTTATACTCGTTGGAAGAAGGAACAAAGTTCAAGGCTATATGTATCAGATCTATCTGGATGGCCATTATAGGAGTTGTTATTATCAGCTCTTTCCTACAGTTTTCTCAGTGCATTATAGATGCACATAATTCTACTTGTTTGCTTTGGCCGTTTGGATGCTGCAGTGTAATTTTCAGTTTCTCTGCATCTTGAATTTTAGATGAAAATCATTGTAATATTTGTACTGCAACTGTTTGTTTTTTTCTGGCACTTATTGTATACTGAATTGCGATTGTCATCTTGAGACCTTCATCTGAAGTTGCATTTTGGATTTTTCTCCTTAAATATGTTTTAGGAAGCCACTGTTTCCAAAAAGTAATGATGTTTATGCATATGTTGTTTTGGGGTGAATTTTAGAGAAGTGTAAAACTGCAAAACTGTTTAGGGTTACAAAATTTCACATTTTCAAAATACAGCGATATGATTAAACTGTCTCGATGCTTTCCTAGCTAGTTAGAAGGCTGAAATTCTGATATGTTAATCTCAGAGCTTTCCTCTGTCATCCTGTAATATTCCTCCACCTCGCAGACTCCCCTATAAAGTAACTCTAAATATGTAGTTATAAGCTTGCAGTGCAATTGCTTTGACCTCTATAAAAGCTTTTTCAGTGCGCTAGAAGACAGAAGCTTTAGCCTGTTCCTCTCAGAGCAACCATCTTGCACTCTATAATAAAGTCTAATCCAGCTATGATTTACTGAATTGGCTTGGTTGTGTGAATAACATTACAAATTGTTGACTGTTAAGTATGCATTTCTGCAACATTCAGATTCTATAGTGTCTCATATTTTATTTTTTTCAATGTTGCAGTATTTTTATCACTAATTATCTTAAGAATTAGGGGGACACTACAGATCAAATACCTGAAGATTGCCAAATTTGATCTAAAACCTCATGTTGTCAGTCGGCAGTGACCATATTGTGTGACTTTGGCATGCTGGGAGATTGAAATTACAAATATTTCCTTGCCAGACTTGTTGCTATGATACATTTCACAGTGTGAGCTGCTGTTATATGTAGCTTCAACCCATGTTAAGTGGAAAAATAAGCATTACTTCATTGATTTAAACAGCGGTTTACATTAAACAACAGTTAAATGATAATCTATAGCATTTTAACACTGCAAACAAATTTTGCAAATGATTTATCTTAAATAAAACTATGGCAAGAAATGGCATTCAACACAATGCTAACGCTCAGAAAAATAAATTGAATTGTGCATCCAGCTGCCTCACTTCCCCATTCATTCCACTGTATTGTTCTGCAGCAGTGAGGGTTTCCTGTTCTTTCTCACACATGCAACAGGTGGATGTCTGTCTTCAGTGTAACACAATGAATGAAATAGTGCAGCCATATTTTTATATTTCTGTTCTGTATATTATTTAGCAGGATCTGTAGCCTACTATATTGAGTCATTGGCACGTCTGTATTAAAGCCATAGTTTTATTTATTTCTTCTTTTTTTCTGGTAACCATCATATTCAAAGCCTATTTGGCTTTTTCTTCGGTAGAACGACATAATTGCCAGTAAATGACTGAACTTTCATTTTGGGTGAAATACCTTCAAAACCAGGGATTTAGCTTGTCAACGTGCTTGATTTATTGGATAAATTTTCCTGGTAATGTAATGTCTGAAGATGGACAGTGTGCAATCGTCTGTAGATAAAAGGATCCTCGGAGAGGACAGCCATTGTTGTGCTCTTTTCAGTAGACTGACAGAGAGAAAAGCGGAGTGGGT